TGTCTCTTCTCATAAGGGCACTAGTCCTACCCTCATGACCTCATCTGATTCTCTCTCAAAGGCCTCATCTCCAAACATCACGGCCCTGGGAGGTAGGGCTGCAGTGTGTGAATCGTGCGTGGGGTGAGGGGTCGCAGTTCCATCCACAGCATAGCCTAAGTGGTGTCTTTTGTAGGTCTTCTGCTTCTTCATTGACATATGTCACATGTCAGTTGACAGAATGGGAGCCCATTCTGCAAGACAAGAGGAAGGGGTTTGTACTACAGCAACACAGCTCCCATCCCTGCCCTTCACAGAAATCAGGCCTTTTTGAAAAAAAATTACAGAAATGTTTAAATAGAAATGGTTGCATGTGCTATGAAAAAAGACAAATAACTAGGCTAGGGTAGTCTTCCCCAAGTGACAGGAAAGCTAAGCGCCGAATGGGTGTCAGTCTGATGGGGGGGGGGGAGAGCATTCTGTCTCAGGAAACGGCAAGAGCAGTGGCTTCCATGGAAGAAGGAACTGAGACTGTGGCTTAGGGCCTCTGAGGATCATTCTTTGGTCTGGTACCTAGATATAAGCATATGCACTATCTAGAACTGTCTCTGGGGGTGCTTTTGACCCAGAAAGGAGGTTTACTGCTCACCAGCAGTACCATGCATTTGCTGTTTGTGATCCACGTTGGCCTGTGTCCAGGAGGGGAAGGCTGGGCAGACAGGAGGAGCCAGGTCCAGGGAGTGGTCTCTGCATTTTTGCATCCCAGCACTACCCGTCTCCAGCTGGACTACCACAGGGGACCGTGTTTGTGATTCATAAAATCTTTTTTGTCTTTAAGTGAAAAAACTATGTCCTCAGGATAGGCCCTTTTATCAGCAAGCCCAGGAAAGTGAAAATAAATGCAGTTAAAATAAAGGTGAAATCCAAAAACAAGTTTTGCTTTATGCTAAATGGCTTCATTTTTTTCAGATAGCCATGACTTACAGGAAGCCCTGCCCATCCAGTTTGCTTTAAAATTCTTTAAATCCGTCTTTAGTCCTCTCTTCTGCTATCAGCAAGCCCAGGAAAGTGGAAATAAATGCAGTTAAAGTTTAGTTTTAGAATACAAACATGTCTTCTCTAAAGACATGTGCTTACAATTTGCAATTTTGTGTCCCGCAAACACTCTGGAATATGGTTAGCTACTGGAATAACTTACCCAGGAAAATCTGACGAGCCCCTCTTTAATGGCTTAGGTTTGTACACCACTGTTCCTTTCACTGCATTCTTCTCGCCTTTTTTGGTTTTTGTTTTTTCTATTTTATGTTTTTAAGTAGTGGGCCCATTTTTGCCCTCAGACCTCATTTCATCACATTTTTTAGTGCCTTGTGCACAACTGATCCTCAGAAAAGGAGAGGTGACTGAAGAGGTGATGTTATCTGGCATCTTCTTGTGTGCATTCTAGTAGGCTGGGCCTGTGGTTGGATCCTCACCTGCAGGCAGGACTAGGTTTTTACCTAGGCCACCAAATAGCCTTCCATGAGTCCCTGAGAACCCCAGGAGAAGGACTGGTTCTTTGTCAACTCTGAGTCCTAGGCTCCTGGCTCACAGTCATGCTCAATAAGTGATTTTTTTTTTTTTTAATGATTAACATGAAGGTCTAACTCATTCTGCGGTATGAAAAAGCCTGTTCCTACAAAACAATATTTCTGGTTGTAATTCTCTCAAAGGCCCTAGGCATGGTACTGGCCCTAGAAGAAGGCCTCAGCAATGTTCTTCAAATGGTATGGTGAACTCTTTCTGGTCCTCTCAGCTGTTCGCTTCACTCCCTAGTATTCTCTCTCTCTCTGGTCCACAGTCACTCAGGCCTTTATCTTTGGCTCCCTGCTGTATCAGGCACCCAAGCAAAATTCATGCTCCTGGCTGTTCCCATCAAAAGAAGAGTCTCCATCCCTTCTTCACTCAGGGCTCTGGGGCTTCCCAAGATGATACAAAGGTAGGCAGAAGCCCTGCGTCCCAGCTGCCCCAGCTTCCTGCTAAAGCCCAGACTCTGGCCTCCCCCAGACTCGTCTCTTCCCAAAGCCCAGCATCAGGGTAAGGAAATGAAGCCCTTCCCTGTGCTCCTCAGCTGGGGGCTCTCACCTCCCTCCAGTCCTCGTGCTCTTCAGGGTATACATCAAAGGTGGACAACTGCTGCACACTGGTGGTTGTGCTTTGCACCATCCCTTGGCCGCGTGCACACTCTCCCTCTTCAGCTCGTTCCCTGCCTCATATTGCATTTATGACTTCATGTTGATTATCTTCCATGTTGGATTGCGATTCCCCACCTTTTTCGTTGTTTCCCTGAGGCCAAGCACAATAGCTAGCCTAGATCAGAGTTGGTTCCCGCTGAATAAAACACTCAAGGAAGAAAGAGAGGAAGTGAAAGCAGACGAGGGTAGGGGCAAGAGAAGAAAAGAAGAAAGCCCCACTCTGAGCCATGGATGTCCTCTCGTTCCTTAGTTGTTTTTAACCTTGACTGAGGTGCAGATATGTCTGAATGAAAAAAAAAATGGACTGGGATTAAAAGAAGAGAGAATTAGGGCATAGGGGAGTGTTGGCCTAGTCGTTTAGGATTACAGGGGTTGCAGGCTTCCCTCGGGGGAGACCATCTCTTCTGGCTGTATGGAACAGAGAGTAATGAGAACTTGGGGACACCAGATTCACTTACCTTCATGCTGACTTAATGGCAATTGGTGTGAACTTTTGGGGGGCAATTTCTAGTGTGTGGTAGACCAGGCTAATAAGTCCAGTGGACACAGAGCATTGCATGAGCCTTACAGGATGGGTGAGTTCAAAAGGACCTGCGGTGCCTCTTCCCAAAGCAGTGCTCACTCTGTTTCTCATCTCAATATCAGCCCTGGCTAGCTCCCTGGCAGCACACGGGGAGGATTCCCCTCCACACAGTGATGACATTCAGCTAAGCCACAATTCCTTGAACCAGGAGGAAACCCTTGTGGTTTGGGGGTTGGGGTGGGGATGAGCAAGCGCAGATTTTTTCTCCTTTGCCCGATGGCTTTAAATTGCAACCTCTCTTTTAATTTTCCATTATGCATCAAACACATCCGTGCCAGAACTGGACAAATGTATTCCGTCTGGAAGGATGATCCCAGACAGCTATAAATTAGAGTTTGTGTACAGAGATTCCAAAAATGTGGCCTCATGGTAGGGTGTCCCTGGGACCAGTCACCTCCTCCACAGTCTGCTTGGTGGCTTCTGGCTTTGGCCTGGCGCCTCTGTCAATAGATTTTTGCTTTGTATTTAGAAACTCTCTTTCCATCAGGCACTGCAGAGGGTGGTAAGGTTGCCCGTCAGGCTTTGCTGGACAACTTGTCCCAGACAGCCCCCTGACGAGCAGGGACAGCAATTGACTGAGGGCAGCACCCTCTTTCCTGCACAGCAACAGTGAGGTCCCCAAACTGGTTTCCTTCTAAGTTGAAGCACAACAAAAGCATACTCTCCTCACTTTTTTTCTGATAGAAAAAAAAAAAAAAACTACCACGTCACGCTGTTTTAAAACTATATTTTTAAGGTTAAAAGAAAGTTACCTGTAATCTCTCCCTTGGATGATAAATATTGTGACTATTTTAACATTTGTAACATGACTTCTTTCCAGGTTTTCAGGCCATGCTGCTGATTTTTAAAATTCAGCAGTTTTTTCAAAAGCTGGTTGTGCCCAGTTCCTTTAGCTGCCCCTCACACTATTCAATTAGCGCTTTCCTCTGAGGCTGGAAACTGTTAGTTATTCCCCATGGGGAGAGTCCAGCTGGTAGAACTCTGCCCTCGGACTCTCCTCCTCACTGAAGTGCTGCAGCGTTTCTGAAGAAACCCGGGGAGGAGGGAATTGGCCCTGGGGGACAGAAGGTGAAGGGGGATAAAGTCCTGGTAGAAACCCAGCCAGACAGCACCAGGTCCTTTACAAGCTGCCCACAAGACAGAAGGAACCCGTATGCAAAGGTCTCTGGGCTAACCCTGACTTTGATTTTTTCCTTGTTAAACCTCTGCCTCTGTGATTTTCATCCTGTCTTCATGTCATCAGCCCCCGGCGTGCTTTTCTCTGTTTCTGCAGGGGCAGGCTCTGAATTGCTTGTCTGGGGAAAGACTGGGGCAGCCCAACAGAGACTGGACAGGGTGGCAGCAGCAGGAGGCTATTTTTACATTTCTGCTTATTTTCCCATCATGCCTTGTGCCCAGAAGGTGCCCAGTAAATACGCGTTGATTGATTGATACAGTGAAATCTGAGAACACCATGGCAGGAGCCTGCTGGCCTGCAGCAGTGACCGTCCTGCAGAGGCAGAAAGGGCTTCCGGCTTTAATGCTGAGCCCTGCGGCAACCTTCAGAGGGGAGGGAGGGAGCCCGGTGATGACTCTACCAGCTGCCAGCCTGCCCGGCCACCACCCGTGCCAGCCGCCCAGCCTCTCCCTCAGCCGCACAGCACAGACCACGTTGTTTCAGAAAATTATTTTTTCTTCTCTCATTTTCCATGGAAACTCAAAATAGTAATCAAAAAAAAAAAAAAAAAAAGCCAGGTTCCCTACTTCATCCCCAGGAAGGGGCAGGACAGTGACCACCACACAGGACCGGGGGCGAGAGGGTTACAGAAACTTCTGGAATGACATTCTAATTGGAGAGTGCGCATCATGAGGTGTGGGTGGGTTTGAAGGTTGGTGCATTTTCCTCTGAGAAAGGCAAGTTCCCCCGGGTCTTGGAGTTCATCTTGCTCTTGGTGATCTGGCATCTGAGACCCAGTCACCTCTCACTGTGATATTGGTGACGAGTTTCAATGAACCAGCAAAGGACAATAAGGCAAGGAGAAGATGCTGCCAGGGGGATGTTGTTAGAATCGTGTTTCTGAGATGCCCTCAGCATGGCACGTGTGCTGCAGAACCACCAGGCAGCTAGCGGGTAGCGTGGACCTAGTGCCATCGTCACACCAGGCCGAGGGGCTTGAGTACATGCTTCCACCTCTGTGAGCCTCCCTTTCCTCCCCCATAAGAGATGAAGGGTGGACTAGGTAATGTCCAAGGGTGAGCCCTTGTCTGTGCCTGCACCTGCTAGTGGGTCTGCACACCCCCTCTTCACTTCCATAGTAAATACGGTGTTGTTTGCCCCACAGCTGGCCGGGTCAGCGGTCATTGCTTTTGGACTATGGTTTCGATTCGGAGGCACCATAAAGGATTTGTCGTCGGAGGACAAGTCTCCAGAGTATTTCTACATGGGTGAGTGACTTCAGCTTCCCTCCACTTTAGCTCAGGTAGGACAGCTGGGAGACATGGAGCAGAAGCTGCACTTGAGCTTTGGTGGGATGGGGAGGCAAGGAGGGGCAGGGAAGAGGCAGAAGGAGCCAACACCGGAGCCCCTGTGCTCCACCTGGCCCTCAGTGCTGCACTTAGGGAGGCAGGTGGACAGGACCTTGCTTCTCCTGCTCCCTCACATGACCCATTCCTCCACTCTCCAAAGTACAGGAAGGCCAGCGCAGCCAGAAAAGAAGTCTCAAGGAAATGTAATGAAAATTCATTTTAAAGAATTAGAAGACCTCCTGTGTCCCTGGAGGATAACACAAGTCTGTTATTCACTAGTCCATCCAGGGAGACAGGGTGCCCCTACAGAGTCAGGGTTTGATTTTGTGATTTTGTATTTCAACTTGCACTGGAGGAGAATGTAACTCAAATGAAGAGAGATATTCAAGGTTTGGAGGTGCTGATCCCAGTCCTTCCATGACTAGGGACTGCAGAGAGGAGAGGCGGGGACAAGAAGGCTAGCCCTGGAGAAGAGGCATCAGCTCTGCTTCCTGTCAGGAGTAGGAAAAGGGTGAGGAGCATGGGGTGGGGTGCAGCCTCCCACCCAGAGTGAGATGAGCAGGGGTACAAATGGTCACCATGCATTTAGCTCCCTCTGTTTCCAGCCCTCTGCTGGAGCCTTTTCTCATTCTCCAGCTAAGTGGACATGCACTCTAGATTTCAAAAATTCCAAGCCCATTGTCAATGCAAGCGACCCCCGTAACTGACTGGCTGTTTTAAGAACCCCACCGGCCATAGAGTCAACTTGGATTGCTTGTTGTGACATCTATGCCTGGGGAGAGGGAGGAACCCATATAGGTCATTGGCTCCAGAGCCTAATAAGAGCAGAATCTCTTTCCCTGAATCTCTTTCTGAAAAGAAAGAGTCCAGGCCCCACTCAGAGCCATGGATGTCCTCATGAAGGACCAAATCACAGCGGCTGGGCCACCTCCTCCACCAAACACCTTCCACGCCCAGAATCATCCTGTGAGGAAAATCACCATACTGATTACAATACTTACAAAGGAAAGTAGCAGAAAATCTACTAAAGGAATATTACTCAGCAATAAAAGAGAATAAAGTCATGGCATTTGCAGGTAAATGGATGGAGTTGGAGAAGATAATGCTAAGTGAAGTTAGCCAATCCCAAAAAATCAAATGCAGAATGTTTTCTCTGATATAAGGAGGCTGATTCATAGTGGGGTAGGGAGGAGGAGATTGGGAGGAATAGATGAACTCTAGATAGGACAGAGGGGTTGGAGGGAAAGGGAGAGGGCAGGGGGTTAGAAATGATGATGGAATGTGATGGACATCATTATCCAAATTACATGTATGAAGACACGAATGGTGTGAATATACTTTGTATACAACCAGAGATATGAAAAATTGTGCTCTATATGTATAATAAGAATTGTAATGCATTCTGCTGTCATATATAAATTTAAAAAATTAATTTTAAAAAGATGAATATAATAAGAACATTTATGTTTTATGAGATCTTACATATAGATTTAAAAAAAAAACACCCAATTATTTTAGGTTACATTAAGAAAAAAATGCTGCCAATTTAATTAGAACATATTATAAAAGATAAATCCTAATCTCAGAATTGTTAAAATGCTTTTTTAAAAAAACTCAAAAATCGATGAAATGTGGTTAAAGAAGTCTGGAGGTGGAGAATTTCCAGAATTAGTTCGGGGCCCAACAAAGTCATCAAGGACCCCAGTTCTTCTCTCTACTCTGCCATCCTCTGCATGTCCTAAGATGTCCCCTTCTGATTCCAACATAGCTTCAGTGGCTCCAACATTGTGTCCTCAGACAACAACATCCCAACAAGAAAAAAGGAAGTTTCACTTCATATGGTCCTTTTGAGGGATAAATGAAATCTTTCTCAGGAGTCTCCTGAAAAGCACATTTCCCCTTGCAGCTTATTGGCCAGATTTGCATTATATCCAATCATGGCCAAGAAGAGAATAACTATGACGGGCTCTCATTAATTGATAATCATGCCTGGGTCTGGAGCAAGGCCCAAGTTCCCCAGAGGACTTATAACGGTTGGACAAGATTGGCATTTTGTGGCAAGGAAAAAGCAGAGGAATCTGCTAAAGACTTAACCCTGAAAGGCTCTTTTCTATCCACATGGTTCCCAGGTGGTACGCACACTTCCATCAAAGCTAGCAAACATACACTTCAAATATTCCTCCTTGAGAAACTCCTGGCTCTGAAAACTTCTCAAGAAGCATTTTTCTATTCCAGAGAAGCCTTCAAGTGTTCCAAGGACAAGCTTAACCCACCCTTGTTCTGTCACCTTCAACCCACACCAGGGACACCAGGCTCAGGCAGAGGGAAGAGTGGAGAAGGAATGCATCTTCCCTCGCTGTTTTAATCAGCTTTGTGCTACTATGACCAATATATCCGACAAGAACAACTTAGAGGAGGAAAAATGTATTTTGGCTCACAGTTTCCTAAGTTCAGTTTATGGTCAGCTGACTCTATGGCTAGAGGAAAGCAGCTCAGGGCATGACAGCCAGGAAGCAGAGAGACCTCTGCTCACCAGGGACAAAATGTAAATCCCCAAGGCATACGCCCCAGCGATCCACACCCTACCTGCCTTCAGGTACCACACAGTTAATCCATCCATGTGGATTAATCTACTGATTAGATTATGCCTCTCCTAATAATTTCACCTATGAACATTCTTGCATTGTCTCACACATGAGGTCTTGGGGGACAACTCATATCTAAACCATAACACTCATGTTGCTGATATTCCAGAAGCTACCGATCACATAGCATTCCCCACAATTTTGAATTCAGTTTTAACAAAATCCCCCTTAATCCCATGTTAAATAGGCTTCATGCCTCTCCAGACATATGGAGAAGGAACTCTTCAATAATCAAGAGCAGATAATAGTCACAAGCACATGGTAGGCACTACATGAATGGTACATAAATACTGAATTAGAGAGAGAGAGAGAGAGAGCACAGGCTGCTCCCATAGAGCTTTGAAGGACAGGCAGTTTGGGATAGATTGAGTTAGGGAAAGCTTTATTCATGACTCTGAATTAGGATTGACAAATAAATATAGGGCAGGCAGCCATGATTTTTACCTTATCTATGGGGACTATGGCTAATTGTTCAGGGCAATGGAGAAAAGTTCACCCTTAGTTAGAAGGAAAATGCTTGGGAAGACACCAACCAGTTCAGTTCCATTCATAGTCTCCTTCAAGTTGTTTGGCAATAATCAAATGTGCCTAAACTCAGCCACCTACTCACCCTCACTGCCAAGTTTGCAGGTGGAGGATTTCAAGCTCTAAATTGTACTTTGAGATAGAACTAGACTTTTTTTTTTTTTTAGGAA